CTCATGTGTTGATGAAAATAATCTAACTCAAGCACAAGAGAAATGCCTAGATCTCAACACCCAAGCTATTGACATCATGTATAGATCTTTAGATGATAGCATATTTGGTGAGATCATTAACATGAAGACCGCTCATAAGATTTGGAGTTATCTCAATGAGAAGTATGGGGTGGTCTTCGATGATGATGATGAGCCCAAAAAGGAGGCACGTGAGGATGTTGAGCATAGCCATAATTCGGTAATTGTAGAAAATTGCTTCACCTCATGGTCAAGTGATGATGATGATGATAATACCACAAGATCATTTGACAAGATTGATGATGATGCCACAAGTGATGCCAATGATGATGCTATTCCATGCACACTTGATGGTGATAATGATGAATCATGTTTGGGCTATAAGAGTGATGTTTCTTCAAGCTCTCTAACTACATCACATTGCTTCATGTCACAAGGTGACACTAAGGTATCTAATGCAAATGTGATTGATCTTGATTCATATAAGAAGCTTCTAGATAGATATGGTTGCATGCTCAAAGTTTTAGAAAAAGAGATAGCTAAAATCAAGAAATAAAAAATAAAAACTCTTTTTTAAAGAACACATGTGAACCACGAAAGCATCTAGATAAAAAGATCTAGGGAATCAACCGTGGAACATGTGAAGAAAACCACCGCACTCATTATCTTTCCCATACAAAAAAAATGTTCCATCTCCCATTTATTAACAAAAACTGCCGCCCCTATCAAAAAAAAGAAGAAGAAGTCAGCCACGACATTACCTTGTGTTCGTCAGGCGTGGACGCACGGTCGCACGGATGGCCGTTCCGCATCGGACCTCTGCTGTCCGCTCAGATCCCCTTCCTCTGTTTTTCTTCCCCTTCCAGATGTCGCCCTCATCGTGTGCATAACGGCAACGGCACGGATCAAGATTCCTCCACCGAGCTCAGGCCTCAGGCGAACAGCCGCCCGGGGTTGGGGACTGGGGCTCTACCGCCGGCAAGGGTGCGGGCGCGGCGAGGGAGCCGTCATGGGCGAAGCTCCGCAGGCATCACGCAGGCGAACGGGCGGGGCAACGCAGCGCCGCCGAGCGGGGCGGAACCCAGCGGAGGTCCATGTTCGGCGATCCTATGCGCGACGGCCGAGGTAGAGCGCGGGGACGTCGTGACGTTTGAGCTGGGAGAACCCCGACGGAAGCGGCGTCATGCGGTGTGGCGGTCCTGAGCGGGGCAGGGCATGGCCGTGCCGTCGATGCGGAGCGAGGTGGCCAGCGAGTGTAGCCGAGGCGGAACAGAGTTATTTAAACTCGACTGCACTGACGATGGTTCGTGTTCTCTGCTTGCATTTGCAGTGGTAGTTTCGTAGAGGAATCGATGGTGCGTCATGGAAGAGGAATCGACCGTGTGCCTCTTTGGTTGGTGCGCAAGAAGGGACGGCGATGGTGGTTGTGGAAGAGGAATCGACGGTGGAATCATTAATTATGTGCGTCTTCGTTTGGTGCGCAAGAAGGAACGGTGGGTCAAACGAAGGTGATGATGTGGTCTAAGAGAAGCCAGAAAAATAAGCTAATGGGATTCTCCCATTTAGATATAGAAGATCATGTTACTTGTTCGGACTTATTTTTAGAATATGAAATTACTCCACGTTTTTCTTAGTAAGTGCAACATGTAAGTATTACTATTTTTTGCACTTCATGAACTGACAATTATGTTCTTGGAAAGCAAGGATTAATGGGAGAAGCAGAGGTTCTAATTAGAAGTGAGCACAATTGACTGGATTGCTTTGGACATGAGAATAATGTAATATCCTTGCTTGTATGGTTTACCGTTCTATCTTTGAAATCTTATAGAAAGAGAAAAAAATGGCAACATGGCTGTATTTGACTATTTGTATCAGAAATATTTTTAATGTTGTCAAACTGCATAATTTTTAGTTCGCTATAAATTGGAGGGTCCTACTGTTTTAGATACGATGATTTGAGATTCAGCTTGCTTCTCTTGTACATATATGGCTTTAGAGAACTTATGGTTGTATGCTGTCTCCAATCAATGATCACGGGAGGCTACATATTGCCCTTTGGTTGTTTGGTTTGCATCTCTCAAATGCTGCCGTGAAAAAAAAATTCTTAGCTCCCGTTACAATGTTACAATGCACGGACACGAAACAGTGTATAAAATAAAAAACACAATTCCTATCCATTGGGTGCCTGATTATTTAGTCATTTCAGGCGATGTAGTAAACTGCAGTGGCAAGTGGAAACCCCATTCCTTGCCTCTTTTGTTTATCGCATCATCCGTCCTCTTGTGATTTATTAATTATTTTTTATCATACTAACATATTAATATTTTGTCCTTGTCTAACTATAGAAATAAATTGTTAATTATTAATTAGTTTTATGCTAACATAAATTAAATTTTATTGGGTTTGTGGTTTTATTTATTTCAGGTCCAAAAATTGTACATTATATTTACAGAAATTGCAACGAATTAAAACTATAATTTTAACATAAAATTTATGTAATAATAGTTGCCTGGAAGGAAATTAAAATTTAGGCACCAGTATTTTAGCGCATCCTTCCTATCTAGCTTCGTTCTGCACCGGGTCCTATAGACATACTGAACAGATGAAGGGCAAAAAAAATTACTCAAAGAAATGAGCATATGAACTTGTATACTGAAACTAACTTGATGCTTGTTTCATCTTAACTGCAGATGTCCCAGTGAACATAATTGTTGCATAAGTGTTAGTTCATCTCAGGTTATGCACCAAATGCAACCAAAGTTATTTGTTTCAGTTGATGATTCATGAATGATCTGATGTAATAGTGGCTATTACTAGAGTGCTGCCATTTTGGACAGAAGTTGCAATTACAATTTCAAGACAATTACAAGCTGCTATCTGGATGTGACCTTCTGTACTGCTTTTTACTTTGGCTCTTGAGATACATTTATGCTCGAGTTGTAGGTACTTGTGTTTACATGGCGCCAGGTTCTGGAAGGATTGTTTTTTCTGTTATAACTGTATCTTTGTCCATTTTTTATTTTATTATGGTATTGAACTATTGAATATGTATTGAATCTTGTTGATTCTTCTCAATTTTTCTTATCTGTTATAAAATTTTTGGCCTTGTTTACCTTGCTCCAGTACGATCTCTTCCTTTTTTTCTGTTCCTTTTTTAATTGAATTTGAACGGCAAAGGATAGTGTTTTTTTATAAATGCAAGGATGCAGCAAAACTGTAAACATCCACCCTGGAGCCTGGGGCCTGGCTAACTATTCGAACAGCCACCCTAGGCTAGTCTCTCCTGTGCTTGCTTCCAAACAGCACCAGGGACACATGGTTCATCGCCCGTAGGATGTGACTGTCCACAAAAAAATCCGCTTACTGTTGTTCCCTGAGCTGAGCTGCCCCTTCCTCCCAAAGGTAACCTAAATGGGTACTCCCTCCATCCCAAATTATAAGACGTTTGACTTTTTTGGCTCTAAGTTTGACCACTCGTCTTATTCAAAAAATTTGTGCAAATATAGTCAAATTTAAGTCATTCTTGAAGAATTTTTATTAATAAACCAAACCACGACGAAAGAAGTGATATTTTACACAAATTTTTAAATAAGACGAGTGGTCAAACTTGATGTCAAAAAAGTTAAACGTTTTATAATTTGAGATGGATTGAGTATTCTTTTGTAGTATTATCTATAGATGAGTTGGCACTAACGTGGCATGTTATAGATAGTATGCAGTGAAGAAGATAGTATGGCACTGCTCGTAGCTGTCAATCTCAACATTACTGGAGTATGGGCCGAGTCCGCACGGGTGCGAACACACGTCGACATCTCGCTCATTGATGCTCGGCGCCTCAAGTGGCCGGCCTAAAATCAGCTATCCATAGCGTGTCGCAGTGGAGAAGATAGTACGGCACTCCTTTTTTTTTCCGCGAACGTGCTTAGCACGTGTTTTGTTAAGATCCGAGAAATCAACCTATCCATCAACCGATCAACGGCACGTGTAAGAGAACTAGTAGCGCTCGATGGTAGCGATTATCAGACGCCGTAAACCCCATTTGGAATCAGAGCAGCAGTTTAGTTTATGGAGTATGGGTAGAGTCCCCGCAGGTGCGGACATGTCGTTCCTCACGGAATCGTCGTCAACCTCTGGCTGATTGATGCTTGGCACCTCAAGTGGCGGGGCGGCCTATCGTCGATTCGTCGCTCTCTCGTTTTTTTTTTCTCTCGAATACGCAACAACATTGCGTATCAGTATATTAAGAAGGCAGAAGTTTGAAATACAAAAGAGACCGTTCCCAGCTCGACGGTTACCTCAAAGGGACTATATTTTGACTATAACAACCTTGGGATTCATTGGGATCAACCTAGACTACAATCTAGCTAAACTGCCAGACCGCGCTACTTCACCCGTCATCGCCCTGGATGCTGGGAACAGTGCATAAGCGCCTCGACGTTTGCCTCTGATAGAATACCCTGGAAGTACGAATCGTGCGAACGCTTGGCTGCAGAGGAAATCGGTGCTCCCGTCTTCTTCATGAGCAGCACTTCGCCACGTTTGGACGCGAGGATGTGGTCCATCTGCTGAGCAACAATCCGTCTGCTCCTAATGGACAGAGTAATCCGCTTTGGTGCTGGCTTCAGCTTAGGTGGGGAGGTGATGAGAGGCGGCTGTCTCGTTACTGGACCTCCAAAATAAACCTGGACAGTTGTTTGGCGGCCTCGTGTGGGCGTGCCCTCACCGGTCAGCTTGTCGATTGTCTGAACGACGCCCGTTGCTTCCGCTTACAGCTACTCTTCCGAGGTCGTCATCATCGTCTTCATTGGTTATGTACGTACGTTTCCTCTTGATGTTGACACACAAGATAAAATATCTTCCGGCACCCTGTCTTCCTTCCTTGCCCTCCTTTCTCCTGAAGCTACGGCACGCCCACGGCGCCACAAACTCGCTTGAGTCTGCTCGAATACCCGCCGGCAGCGAGGGCATCGAAACTGCCAGCCATGGACGCGGCGGCGACGGTCGTGTCATCGAGCGGCGACGCTCCCCTGCTCCTCCTCCTTGCCCTCGCCGTCTCCCTGCTCCTCGCCGCGGCCGTCTGGTCGAGGCGTGGCCAGGGACACCCCAACGGCGCGCCGAGCCCGCCGTCGCGCCCGCTGCTCGGCCACCTCCACCTGCTCGGCAAGCCGCTGCACCGCTCGCTGGCCGAGCTCGCGGCCGCGCACGGCGGCGCCGGTGGCCAGCTGGCGCCGCTCCTGTCGCTGCGCCTGGGCGCGCGGCGCGCGCTGCTGGTGTCGTCGCACGGCGCGGCCGAGGAGTGCTTCACCGCGCACGACGCCGCGTTGGCGGGCCGGCCGCGGGTGCTGGCCGGCGACCGGCTCGGGTACGGGTACACGATGCTGGTGTGGGCGTCCCACGGCGACCACTGGCGCGCCCTGCGCCGGCTCCTCGCCGTCGAGGTCTTCTCGGCGTCCCGCGTCGCCGCGCGCGCCGCCGACCGCCGCGCCGAGGTCGCCGCGCTCGTCACCAGCCTGAGCCTGCTCCACGGTGGCGCTGGCGCCGCGGTGACTCTCCGGCCCAGGCTCTTCGAGCTGGTGCTCGGCGTCATGCTGCGCGCGCTCACCAGGGAGCGCGCCCACGGCAGCGACGTGCGCAGGTTCCAGGAGATCGTGGAGGAGACGTTCGCGGTCAGCGGCGCGCCCAGCGTCGGGGACTTCTTCCCGGCGCTGCGGTGGGTGGACCGCATGCGCGGCGTCGATGCGGCGCTTGTACGTCTTCAGGCGAGACGCGACGCGTTCGTCGGCGGCCTCGTCCAGGACCAACGGCGAAGGCGCGACGCCGGTAATGGCCGAGACACGCCGGAGAAGAAAAGCATCATTGACGAGCTCCTGTCGCTGCAAGAAGCTGACCCTGAGTACTACACGGACACGATCATCAAAGGCCTCGTCTTGGTGAGTAGTCTACTAATCTGGTAGTTGTATTTGTTGGTGTTGCACCAGAATGTTGCTTGGCCCATGGTAATTAAGATGGTGCAATCTCCATGATGATGCAGATGCTACTCACCGCCGGCACCTACACGTCGGCGCTGACCACCGAGTGGGCAATGGCGCTGCTGCTGACACACCCAGAAGCAATGCGAAAGGTGAGAGCTGAGATAGAGAGCAATGTCGGCACCGCACGGCTTGTGGAGGAGTCGGACATCACGAACCTCCCATACCTGCAATGCGTGGTCAAGGAGACCCTGCGGCTGCGCCCCGTCGCCCCGGTCATCCCAGCTCACGAGGCCATGGAGGACTGCACCATCATCAGCGGGTTCCACGCGCGCGGCACCATGGTCCTCGTGAACGCCTGGGCGATCCACCGGGATCCCAAGCTCTGGGACGCGCCGGAGGAGTTCAGGCCCGAGAGGTTCTTGGATGCCGGCGTGGTGACCACGGTCACCACGCCCATGCTGCCATTTGGGCTTGGACGGAGGCGGTGCCCTGGGGAGGGATTGGCATTGCGTCTGATTAGCTTGACGCTGGCGGTGCTCGTGCAATGCTTCGAGTGGGATGTTGGTGAAGGCGGTGTCATTGACATGACCGAAGGCGTTGGGCTGACAATGCCCATGGCCATGCCGTTGGCAGCTGTCTGCCGGCCTCGGGAGTTTGTCAAGGGCATGCTCTCTACTTCAACATGATGAGTTAAAACAGTGGTTTCTTGCAAAGAAAAAACAAGTTTTTATGACGCTGGTGTTTGATTGTTCAGTATTCTGTATGTAATCAGCATGTTCAGTAATACTAAGAATAATATGGCTTTATATGGATACATTGCACTGTTGTGTTTTCAAATGAGAAAAACAAAGTGTGTTGTGCACTTGTGCTTTCAAGTTCAAATACGAAAATTGTTAAACATGCTGGGCGACACAATTAGATGATTTTTTTTCCCCCGTCTTCCTGACCCGTACAAGTGAGGATTTCAAGTTCAAATGTCCAAACTCATTACAACAAAATCAACTCATTTTCTAATGAAATAATATTTTTTCTCCATGTACTTGTACATCTTGTGCTTTGACCTTCAGATTTTGTGGGATGATAAGCATATTGTATGATATTCTTTTGATACTGTGTTTTAATTTGAAAATGCTAAATATTCAAAGTTTATCCTAATTATATTTACTTAATTGGGAGCACGTTAACGAATTTTATAACTAATACCAGTGGGGAACCCCGCGCGAGCCAGACACGAAGGTGACACTACACACCATATCCAACAGATTTAAGTACAGCAGCAAAGGCGGTATATAGATCAGGCGATTGTGATAGAAATAATATATATACATAGTTGTCTGCTTCTCTTGCAGGAGATTGGTAAACTGAGTAGTATTTGAACAGAAGTCTTGGTGGTACTATGGACATCTGATGATGGTGGGATGATACTAATCTTGTATATATGCTGGACAAAAAACGCTGGAATGCACTCTGTTTGCACTAGGCGTTTGATCCCTGTGTACAAATGCAAAAGCAGGTTAAAAACCTGATGCTAAATGTAAAAGAGATCAACATATATAGCATTGTACTGAGAAGCAGCTGGTGGCGGGGTTATGATTTGATGACAACAAAGTGGTGTAATCCTATGGATTATGAAGCGAACAGAAATAGAGTTACATAAAGAGGGTACGAAACCTCTGTAGGCCTGATTATGAAGATATCGTATACTACAGATTAGACTGAAATAGCAAAAGCTGCATTAAGCAATTAATAATATTATTAGTGTTATTGGGATCATATGGTAATGGCAAGGAAATTATTAATATTACATATGTATTTACCAAGAGGTTCAGGAATTGATTATATAGGCACTAAAAAGTTAGCAATAATGGCTGAGCAACAATAATATGAAGAAGTCTATTTTTTTAACGGTAAGGGAAGAAAGTATCTTGGACACCACGGGGTCGCAGGTAAATGCTGAGAAGGTAAACGAAAAAGCCAAAAAAGGATGATGCTCGGTACCAGCAACAAAGGCAGAGCATAATGTACATTTTTATTTGCTGGCCGTAAAAATCAGCAATCCTAGGATTAAGGATACAGAACCATAACAATTTAGAAATGTATTCAGGCGCTAAGATAGGCATCATTGCCTAGGCACTGTCATAGGCAAAAAGACAGATGAGGGTTTTCTAAAATAAAACTGATTAACAAAAAAAATGTAATATTTTTGTCAAGGTAACCCTACAGTATGTACCCTTGGACAGACCCCAATCCAGAGTTACCATAATCATGGCATTAACCTGCCCACTGCTGGTTTTGATTCAGTGTCTTTTATTCATGCAATCGTTCTGTTAAATGGGCAACAAGAACTGCTGCAAAATCTGCAGGACATAGTGTTTGTTTGAGTGCAGTGTAATGAAGTTGTGGATTGTATCAGAACCATCAATGATCTATTTGAATTAAACAAAGTGCAATCTGTTTTGTCCAAAAACAAAGGATGCAGAGGAGCTGCACCTGTGCAATCTCTGAAAAGAGGTGGAACTAAATGATAAACTGCATGGACTGAATTGGTATATATCCACAGTGCCACAACACTGGTGACAAAAATGTAGAGTATAGAGGAAAACTATGAGAAGTTTGAAAAGGTAGGTCACTGGCCCTGGCCTGCTGGCCTCAATTAGTGGCAAATGGTCATACTGCGTCTTTTCGATGAAGTTTTGTACCTATGAAAAATTTACAAAATGTTATTGAAGCATTTCCAATTTATCATATGGAAAGAAATGCATTGGCAAGATGCTGTTAAATTCACAAGGCATGCTATTAGAATTAACACATACAACAGTGAATCTTTGATGATGTGGCTTCTGTTTTGTAACACGCAAGAGAGCTGCATATCTTTACTTTGTAGAATTAGACAAAGTGCAAAATGTTTTGTCCAAAAACAAAGGATTTACAGAACAGGTATATATCTGCAGTGCCACACCACAGGCGACAAAAATATATAGGAAAACTATGAGCAGTTTAAAAAGGTAGCTCACTGACCTGGTAGCCTCAATTAGTGGCAAATGAGCATACTGCGGTTTCTCGATCAAGTTTTGTACCTATAAAAAATTTATAAAATGTTATCGTAGCATTTGAAATTTATCATCACGGAAAAAAAAATGCATTGGCAGTATGCTATTAAATTCGGAAGGCATGGTATTAGAATTAACACACATGACAGTGAACGCTTAATGATATGGCTCTTTTTCTGTAACACGCAAGAGAGCTGCATATCTTTATATTGTAGCCAGAATCCCAGCTCGTAGAATAATGCTGATGGTTTCTTATTCCTGAACTATTTAAATGCCATGGTGAAACATTCCTAACCAAGCGATCACACTGATTTTTAAGCATACTTATGATCAAGCTTGCTAAGGTCCTATGAAATGTTTGCACAACTTTGTATCAATATAAAAAAAACAGGGATCCACACAGGATGAAATCCTAGTGTTGAAGTCACCGGAAGTAGAGGACCAAAAGCCACTTGATGCATATTTCAATAGGCAAGGATGCTGCTAAGAGTTGGCGCTGAGAAGCATACAAGGGAAGTCATGAATACCCTGACCTGCATAAATGTAGCTGAACACTGGTAGAATAATGGAGCGGAGCAGGCAGGCGTACGAATGGAGGATTGGACGAAGTTGTCGTGCCCAGGTCTGATGCGCCGTAACCTGTTTGAGGTGGGGACCCCTGTAAATTCACACGCATGCATGGTCGAGAATTTTTTGAGAAAAGAAGAATGAAAGGTGGTGGTACGCGTAACACACTTGTAAATTCAGTAATAAGATGAGATCGGAATACAAATAGCCAAACAGCATAGGTTAGGGTTTGGTAGATATTTTTTTGGGGAAAAATCGAAGCGGGTAGTAGGCATGGCATAACACACTCCTAAATTCAGTAATCAGATGATATCCGAATAGAAATAGCGAAATAGCATATGTTAGGGTTTGGGCGCTCTGGTTTCGCGCAGCAGTAGGGGAGCAGAAGTGGTCGGCATACCTGGTGCGGCGCCCATCGCCGAAGAAGGCCCCATCGAGAGGACCAGCAGGTAAACGCGACGGCGACACTGCGGCGCCGCGCCGCGGCGATGGCACTGCGGTGGTGCGCCGCAGGGAGGCGCGGGTGAGGTGGGCGGAGGCGACTCGGCAGCGGCGCTGGTGCGGGGCGACGTATCGGCGGCAGGAGGTCTCAGGAGGGGCAGACGGCAGAGCTACGGCGGGGTCGCGTCGCACGTCGCAGGCGGCGAAGGTCGCAGGAGCCGCGGATTTTCTCGGCGGACAGGGTGGGCGGGTGGGCCTACTGAACGCATGCGTGGCGGGCATCCGCTGCCGGGGTGAACGATCCGACGGCCCATATGGTGGTACTGTGGATGAGCAGTGAAAATGTGAGGGGGTGAACGGGGTGGCACTATTGATCAACGGTGCAAATCACCAGGATTATATATATATACACACACCAGCAGGTAACCCCGCGCAACAGTGGACGACACATTGAGGGGAAAAAGTACTGTTCCTTTATCGGGTCGGATACTGTTCATCGTGATCCGTTATTGCGCATCTACAGTGATCTGAGTCTACGTGCGCGCAGGCTGAACAGTGGTTCAGGCCTCAAATTTATAGTCTCTTATAGATATAAACCATCAGCATGCCCTTCTGCACATGGTATAATCAGTAATGTAATGTAACCTTTCTCAGCTGTTCATTTTACATAATAATACAACAATACCATATAGATAATCTATAATCTTTTATCTGATAGAAGATGTTAATACAATTAATTTATATGTTTTTCCTATCTGCAGTTTTTTCCTTTTGCACCAAGTCTTTACATGAAACCTTAGGGTTTCTTCGCACCTCATATTATTCTAGGGACCTATTTGGATTCTCCGGTCCAAAGTTTAGTGGCTAAAGTTAAGGACTCAAACTTTACACTACTTTAACTCACTTGTGTGTAACTTTATACTACTTTAACTCACTTGTGTGTTCTAAGGTTTTAACTCACTTGTATGGTCTAAGGTTTTATGAGGTGGCCTAAACTTTAAACAACATTTTAAACCTCCTGTTTGTAGGCTCAAGAGCTAAAGTGGTCTAAACTTTAGACAACACTTCACATCCTTTTGAAGACAAAGAGAGTATGTAAAAGGATAAAGTATATTTTCAACATTCAACTTACACAAGAGTTTGACTTTGAGACCTAAACTAGGAAACTAGGTCTTGGACACCCTCCAACAGCGGGAAAGTGGACCAGGTCCTTCAACTAGTTTCAAAAGTGGTTTTATATTTTTAAAAAAAATAAAAAACTAATCTCTAAAATTCATAACTTATTTATTTAAAAAATGTGAAACAAATATTTTTAAAAAAAATATTCACTAGTGATATATTTGGAGTCATTTGAATCTTATTTGTTCACGTTTCTAATAAAACATACCACAAGCAATAAAACTACAGGAACATAGTAAATAAGTTGTTAAATTAAGTAAATATAAATAGGTAATAGGCAGATAACATTTTTGTTTAATATGTTGTTTGATTTAAAATACGTAAATTATGAATTTTAGAGATTAAATGGTTTTTTATTATTTTAGAAAATAGGAAACCACCTTCGAAACTAGTTAAAGGACCAAATTTTTTCAGTTCCAATAATTAAAAGGTGTCAAGTACTCGATTTC